GAACCCGTGAGTTGCTCTGCAGAAAAAAGATGTGAGGCAGTCTCCTCCCTTAAAGATTTATAGCCTCAGAAGACCTATGCAGCAATTGTACTTGTCCTCGAGGCTTGCTGTGAGTCAGAACTGTCTTGACAGAATTAGGTTTGGGATTTTATTGCTGAACATTTAGACATACCTCAGGAAAATGGTGCAAATGTTTCTGAAGAGCTAATATTTTGGAGGAGCATTCCTGACCTGAGTAGAGGGTGCATGCATTTTGAAAGTGCTGGCATGCCCAGGAAGGCTTACATCTCTGCATTCATGAGTGGTCCTGTGCCCAGAGGCCCACATACCTGCTGACCTGCGCCCTCTTCTTGCCCTCTGCCAACAGGCTGTCAACCCAGTGGCAATGGGGTGCAGCTCTCCCAGAGTGAAGCATGTGTGTTCACAGAGAGAATGGGAGAAATGGGCCTGTCCTTCAAGAATTTTCTTTTTCTTCGTGGAAAGAGGCAGCAACATTAAAGGCAGTTAGAGAGGCCTCAGGGATAATAGTAAAAATATTTAATAACCTGTGGTAGGACAAATGAGGATGGCAGCTCTGCCTCAGAACAGAGGCCAGGAGATGCCTGCTGGGCCAGATATTAACACTTTATTTTTGGGGTCTTGTTTGTTTTGTGGTATTAACCCTTTAGTTGTTAGATCGCAGGAAGGTCTTGGTGGAGGAGGTTCAAGAAGCGGCTGATGAATATAAACAAGGATGGTTAGTGAGTACAACTGCACACTGCCTGGTACTGTCTCCACCATCTATAGAGCCGACTTAGCTCTGAGGTACAGGCTCCTGGGTTCTGTGGGATGCTGAGAAAGCCTCTTGAGGGGAGAGGCTCTCTTGCAGGATTAAGACAGCGAGAAGAAGCAAGCAGGCAAGGGGCCCGCTGGGCCAAAGGCAAGCCCTGTTAGCTACTTACCCTCTCTGTGTAGTCCTTCTGGAGGCCTTTCTGAAGGGCTCTTCCCTCTTCACCATATGTCCACAGAATGTGCCTTCTGGTGAACTGGGGGAAAATTTATTCTATTTAAAAGAAACTAAAAAAAAAAAAAAGAAAGAAACTCCAATCTAGTGACTTTTAAGATAGGAAAAGACTCCCTCAAACCTTTCCTGACCTCACTTTTCTTTACTTGGATCAGCAGAGTAAGGTGAGATTCCACCCCCACCCCCACCCCCTCCCCATTTTTCTCTCCCATGAGGTTGAAAGGTTGGAGGAACCGACTTTAGATCTTTGGTAGACACACTCCCTGCCTTCCCTAAAAGGGTCTTGTTAACCTTGTTAACTTTCTCCAAGAGTCCCTGAGCTCATGAATAGGCCGGGTATGCTCTGCTTGTCATATGATCTGTGTAATCAAGGCATTCAGGGGAATCTCATCAAGTCTCAAGTACCTGGATGAAGACCTGTCATAATCACAGACGACAGCCCTGGGGAAGCTGGGACCTAGATAGGGAGAGCTGTGTGAGTCAAACACGTACATGCAGGGGTAGCTGCAAAAGCTAGTTTGGGTGCCATTTGTTGGGGTGTCATCTGTTAGTTTCTTGATGGCAGTGTGAAAAGGAGGCTGCTTTGCTCAGGGCAAACCTGCTTGGTCAGTGGAGGCAAATCCAGGGGCCCACAGCCAAATCTCTCTGCCTGAATAACCCAAGAACCAAGAACGTTTAATTCTTTTTAACAAGTTTCCAACTTTGCGAGAGGCCAAAAAAGCATTCAGGAAATCCTGGTTCCCAGTTCAAGCCAACTAAGGCTCGCTTAGCCCTCTGCCTGGGGAAGAGTGTCAAGTCTCTGGGAGCAGCTATGAGTATCTGCTCTCCCACTCTGGTCACTTAGTCTGCGGGAAGTTGCACTGTTAAACCCAAAGGCATCACCTCTGTGATGGTTTGAATCCACCAGCTGCCTCCTGGAGAAAGACAGGGAATCTCCTCCAATACAGTTTACAGTTTCTGAAGACCTGCTGAAGTTCAGCCTATAAGCTTGCTCTTCGTCCCCTCCGTTCTATCACTCTGCCCTGGTGGCTTAGAGGTAAGGCGTTGCACTGTCCACCCAAAATCAAATGGTCCGAATTTCCCCACTGCCCAGGAGAAAGATGGACACCTCGTCCTGTGTGATTTACTGCCTCTGACAACCTCCTGGAGGGTCAACTATGAGTCAGTTCCAAGTCAAGGTACGCAGACAGCAGCCGTTGGGTTGGAGGCAATGCTTGAAAATGTCTCCCCCTTTACTCTCAAGAAATTTGTCCCATACCTTCAGGTCTTTTTGAACTGAAGTGCTTGATGGGCTTCGGAGAGAATGAAGTCCAGAGTTTCACATGGAAATGAATAGTAACAGCTGATGTGTCTCAGACCGGAAGACTCGGGAAAGTCATCTGGGGGGAAAAGCAGTTGCTTATTTTACCTTTTAGCTCGCAAACTCTTTCATAGCAAGAGTCTCAAAACGACTTTTAAAATGTGCTTTTCCCGAGCGGGTCCAGCAGTTTCAGCAAGACCACGCGTTTTCAGGACCCTGTGCTCCCTGGAAAAGGCGTGCGCTCGTGAGAACGTGTGCTGCGGAGGGCACCAGGCATCTGGGTCGGCGGATGGTCAACTGTTCAAGGTCTCATGGGTTCCAGGCGCTTCCCAGCCCCAGAAAGCATCCCTACCAGGACAGGAGAGGCCAGAGCACCTGGCGGGCGCTCGGAGTCCACGCCCAGAGGGCGCTGCTGACTCGTCAGTAACCAAGCAGCGGCCCTTCCGTCCGCTCCCGGGTAGGGCCTTGGTACCCGGGGCTGAGAGGTGTAAGAGCTTGGGCCCCTGCCACCATCACTCCAGGAGCAGAGGCACCAGGACACGGTGGAGTCGTGGCTTGTACAGGAAGACGGTTTCAGACGAAGGCGAAGTAAAAAAGCGAGGGGTGAGCTCGGACCCTAGGAGGCGGAGCTGGGGCACCGGGTTTGGGGCGTTCAAAGGGGCGGGCGTAGGGGTTGGGGGCGGGGCTCTAGGGGGTGGGGCCAGGGGCCGGCCCGGAGACCTGGCGGAGCTGGGGGTTGGGGCTAGTGTTTGCAACAACTCGGAGCCTGTGAGTTTATTATAAGGCGGAGCTCGGCGAGAGAGGTGCGGGCGGGAGCGGAGAAGAATCCAGCCGAAGAGAGCAGAATCGAGCCAGTGGACGCCACAGCCCTCGCCGAAGACCGCAGCGCGCTGAGCACGAGCTCGAGGACGCGCCACGCTACGGCGGAGCCGACCCGGGAGCCCCGAGAAGTGCAGCCCCGCACCGCGCAGCCCGCCGAGCCCCCGTCGCCGCCGGTTCGGGCAGCATGAGGCGCGCGGCGCTCTGGCTCTGGTTCTGCGCTCTGGCGCTGCGCCTGCAGCCGGCCCTCCCGGTGAGTGCGGCCCCGGGCTGGGCTGGTGGGCGGCGGGAAGCTGGGACGCTAGGACTCGCGGATCCCGGCGGCTGCACGTGGAGGGGGAGGGGACACGGGGCTTGTCCTCTTCCCGCGCTCGCTGGCGCCGGCCCGGGGCTCCGTGGTCTGTCCCAGCTTCTCTGTGCACGTCGGTGGGCGCGGGACCCGTGCAAGGGCGCCGGAGAGAGCGGAGCATACGCGGGACTTGGTGCTAAATTATGTAAAACGTCTCCACATGTTTCGGAGCCCGCCTGCCGGCTCCCACCTTCACCCCGAGAGCCGCGCCTCCGCCTCCACCGGTGACCTGGAAGCGAGAAGTGACCGCGGCCACAGGTCCCAGCTCGCTGACCCTAATTCAAACCAGACCTTCGGGGCTTGTGTGCAGAGCCTGTGCTCTCGGCCCGATTCCCGAAGGCAAGTTTCCGCTCTGCGGAGTCGGAGCCAGAGCAGCGGGCTCGTTTGCGGAGGAAGCCCGGGGACAGGGCCACGCGAAACCCGGGCCGGGCGGGTGGAGGTCGGGCGCTCAGCTGCCAGAGGTGAGCGGAGATTTGGCCTTAAGAGCGTTAGAGACCCGAGCGAACCGAACTTCTGGGCTGCTTAGGGTGTGCTCCTCCGGAGGGCGTGCGCTCCTTTGCTTGGCACCGCGGAGGCGGGCGTTCAGCCTCCACGCGAGTGGCCCCGGGAATGGCCTTTCCCCCATCGGATCCAAGCCCGCTCCCGGCTCGGCTTTGTGCTGAATCCGCGCCGGGGGAAGGCGGGACCCCAGCCTGCACTGTGGCGCTGGGATAAAGGCACAAAAGTGGAGCCCGAGGCCGGGAGCTTAAAGTTGGGTAGGACTCCGCGCCCACCTTTGGCAGCAGGTCCGTTTCTGGATATGGACCTGGCCGCCAGGGCAGCCTGGAAGACCCTACACTGTGGCTCTCCCGCCCCAGCGGTCGTCCGCTAGCCCGCCTTCCCCAATGGGGGCGCTTTGTTCTCGGCCCCTGTAACCCTTTCCTGGGAACCGCCCTGCAACGTTGGCCCGAACGCGGCCGGCCTGGGAGCTGGGCCGCCGCCAGGTGTCAGCGCCGGCCGCAGGGTTCCCGTGTGCGCGGCCGCCCTCGTTCCCGGGCCGGGTGCTGGAGTTGCAGGGTCTTACCGGCAGGCCGGCCCAGCCGCCCATCCCCCGGGATGGAGAGGGGAGGTGCCGAGCGAGGGGCTCTTCCCCTTCCGGAAGTGGCGGTCTCTCGCCACCACATCTGGACAGCTCGACTTCCCCAGTTCTGGCCAAGGGAGGCACGTGGGCCGGGAAGACGCGCTGGCCGGGGGATGGGCCCTTGGGTCCTCCACTTTTGATGTGAGATCTGGTCTGATGTCTCTGCACAACTAGCGCTCTTACAGGACAAAGTACAACAATCGCAACAGGGTTTTCAAGGCTGAGAATCCTTACTGAATCCCACGACCACATCTCCCTCCCGGGCAGTGGCTGGTGGATTCCAGCCACGGTTAATGAGAACTTTGGATATTTTACAGAATCTCTCCCAGAAAAGGGGAGTTCTGGTGGCTTAGAGTCCAAGGGATTAGGCTGCTCACAGAAAGGCCAGCTGTTCTGAACTGGCAGAAAGATGGGGAGTCTCCTGACGTCAGTTTATAACTTCAAAACCCCCATGAAGGATCGCTATAGATTGGAATCAGTTCATCGGGTAGGGAGTTTATTTTGGGTGTTGGTATCTCACATCAAGTAGACATTATGTTTGAGTCAGATTTTAAGGTACCTTCTCTGCTTCTCAAAGTGCTAAAAGTAGTTTGACGCCAGGAAAGACCTCTCTTTGTCTCTTGGATTGCTGATGGGTTGGAGTTGGGGAGACACATCCGGGGGAGCTATGGGAGGAGCAGGGGTGGTTTGCAAGCTAAGTACCAATTTACTTGTGCTTACCTGCTGATCTGCATTGAAGAGTTTCACATGCATTCACTATGTCAAAGACGTGAAGTCAGTCACTACAGTTTGTTGTTGAGTCAAGTACGACTCAGGGCAACCCCTGTGAACAATAGATCTGAACTCTGCCCTATCCTGTACCATCCTTATCATCCTCAACACATTTGTGTCCGTTACTGCAGATACTGAACCAATCTATCTTGGTGAGCGTCTTCCTCTCCTTCATTGTTCTCCACATTTCCCAAGCATGATGTCCCCTTTCCAAGAAATAGCCTCTTCTAACAACATGTTCAAAATACGTAAGAAGCTTTACCAGATTAGAAGTAAGCATAAGTAAACCTTGCTTACTAATGGTCATTCACCATTAGGGATTAGAATCTTAGAAAGAGGCTTTGATGGCACATTGGAGGAAGGCTTCTGTGTGGGGTTGGGGAAGAGACAGATGCCAAATGTCTAGAAGCAGAGTCTTTGATGTGGTGAAAGAAATGTGAAATTGCTCATTGCAGATTAGTAGGCAAGCACAAATAAGGGCATGCTTACTCTGTTAATCTGACACTGGGGAGGACATGTAATTTCTGAGCTCGATCTGTAGTGTAATCTTGGTTTTCAGGCTCTAGAATGACATCTGTCTTCTCTTTCTCTTTGAGGCTGCCATTCAGCTTGCATTCTGCATCATAGTTATTACTCTAGGAAGATAGAGTTGCCGGGTTTACCTCTCTGGCCACCTGGCATTACCTGGTGGAAGATAAGGGCCCCAGGAGAGGTCTTTGGAGGTGGAGTGGCCTACCTGTCTTAAGTCAGTGCTGGTGATAGTCCTTCTCTCTGTCTTTGTGAGGGCTTATGTTTCTGTGAGCTGGCATCCCAGAGCACCAGTTCACACTGAAGAGACAGATAAGCTTTAGGATTTGTTTTGATGTTGGTCAGTGGTTCAAGTCCACAAGTGTTCTGCAGGAAAATCATAAGCGTTCTCTTCCCTTAGAGGTTCATTGCGTTGGAAACCGGACGAGGGTAAACGATGAGTGGTAATTAACTGGATGACAAGTGGGTTTGACAATGGATTTTGTAAACTTCCAAGGAGCCTTGGTGGCACTGTGGTCAGAGCGCTCATCTGCTAACAGAAAGATCAGTGGTTCAATCCCACCAGCCACTCCTTGGGTTTACAGCCTTGGAAAACCTGCGGGCTACTTCTACCCTGTTCTCCTGTTCCAAAAGGGAAGCAGTTCTGTGGTTGGTTTTGAGTGACACTTACTGTGTGCTGGGCAGAGGCTGATGCTGTGATAGGAGACGCTATTTGTAACCTCGGAACTTGGACAACTTGTGGAGACACAGAACTAACAGTGGAAGCTGAGGAGGCAAGGGAGTCTGGGGGAAGAGAGGAGGGAGGAAGGGCTAGAGCTGAGGTGGTCAGAAGAAGGCTTCCTGGAGCAGGAAGGCTGACCTGAGCCTGAAACCCCTGAGCTTTGGAATCAGTTTCTCCTTGGAGCGGAGTTTCCTTTTTCCCCCTTTATAAAGTTTAGTATATTTTCTTTTGTTCCTCCCTCCCTGCTCTGTTCTTAAAGTAAGTGTTCAGTTTGGTTAAAAGCAGAGGCATGTGAACCTTCACAGATTTCTTCCACTAAAGAATCAAGCGGGTTGTGATTTGCCTCAAATGGAAGAGCTTTTCACTGGTTGCAGAGATCTGGCCTCTTGGAGGGTTCAGTTCAGCGCTAATGGGAAGCAGGTCATAAACCCCCTGAGGACCTGTGAGGTAGGGTGTGACTGCTGGGTGCCTGACTACAGGGGAGCTTGCCCAAATCCACTCCCAAGGGATTAGAACAGGTTTGTCTTTGAAGATCTCTCTCTGTGTGTTATGTGTGTCCTATGGTCTTTTATTTCTGCCATGTAAGAAGAATTGCTTGCTCTGGAATAGCTAATTTGCTGTTTCACTCCCTCTCCCTCTCTCTCTCTCTCTCTTTCTCTGTCTTTCTTGAAAGGCATAAAATCTCTTTTTGCCTTCATTATGGGGACTAGTAGAGACACTTCCCCACGGCCTGGGATGGTGGGTGTGGGGGAGGAGCTGGCTTGCCTCCGCCTGGGCTCTGAGCCTTCCTGAGGTGATGTCACTGCTGGCTTCTCTTCATGGGCAGGGTGGAGCTGCCTTAAGTCTCTACCTGTGGCTCATGGTGGGTTCCAATAAAACTTCATTAACTCAGATTGGAGGGGAGAGGGCTAAGAGTGGAAAAGGGGCTGGAAAGAATTAGCAAAAAACGGGCCTGCTGTGGTATTTTACAGAAGAATCTTTCTATTTGAACAGAATTTAAGATTCCTGAAACTTCTTGGGAATGAGGTTCACTTGGTACCTGAGTATTTTTTTCCCCCCATATAAGCTAAGAATTCATAACACCCTCAGAAGTATTCTTTAAATTTTGCTAATAAGGAAGTTATCTCCTGGGTAACAGAATCTTCTTTATTGTTACAGTGTTACCTCCTTGTCTGTTGAGCCCTGAAGGTATTATGTCTCATGCCTCCTGCCTCCAAAACGCTTTATTTTGAATTCTGGTCTCTTCTTTTTCCTCTTCTGTTTCTGTCAGCTGTCCAAGGTGCCATTCTTGTCAGAAGTCTGTCATTGCCTTGGCTGACTCATAGCTGACCCTCCAGTAGATTTTTCAGGGGCTGCAAAATTGGATGGGTGGAGATTTCCCATCTTTCTCCCACAGAGCAACTGGTGGATTTGAACTTTGTGCCTTTGAGTTCCCTACACACTACTCCCTCCAGAGCCTGAATGTATCAAGCAGCTATTTTGCCCAGTTTTCATTTGCTACTTTTCTCCAGCAGTACAACTGGAACACCTCAAATTTATTAGAATTATTTCTAAAGTGAAGATTTTTTCCAGTTCAGAGTAAGCATGTCTCCTGTGAATCGTGGTCATGATGGGAGATGTGTTGATTTTGTGTCCCTTGCAGAGCTCAGCTGCAGCACTGCAGGTAACAACAGTGCAAGAGAGTGGCTGACAAGGTCAGCACCTGGGAGCCTCCACCCGTGGACACTTATGCATGAATGATCTCTTGAGAGACGTGCCTGGTGATCACAAGATCTGAGTTCTTCTACCTGATTAGTACTGTAAATGACTTGCCATTCCCAGCCAACCTGGACCTGGCTGCCTATGAATCTTCATTTGCAAGCTTACTGATTACCCCACCTCATTTCTTTTGTTAACCTTTGGCTGTTGGCTTCCGGCTTTATTACTGTCTCCATCTCTACCATATACACATTTCATTGTCTTCTAATTGGAACCAACACACAGCTGACTCTCCATTTGGTTTCCAAGGCTGTAAATCACACATATGGAGATTGTCCATCGTCTCCCGTGGAGCTGCTGGTGGAACCGCCAGAGAGATATAGCTGTTAGGTTAGTGGGCTGGACCACCAGAGTTCCATATAAATGTCTCTGTGTGTATCTATATAATGCTCCCGTACTGTTTGAGCATGCCGAAACAGCTTTGGATTAAGTAGTGTCTCAGGACTGCCATTAACTCAGTACGTAATCTTGGGTGAGTCACGTAACTTCCAAGTCCTGATGGCCTCATCTGAAAAGCGGACACAATGTTACCTGCTCTCCCTGTCCTCATTCTGTCATTTGTGTACTGGTTTCATAATACATGCGGGAAAGTGCTTTGTAATGAAAGTGCCAAAGGAAAGTTAGCTGTCTGTATAATTAGGATTATCTTTTATTGAGCATATACTCTTTAGTGCTAGGTGTTTTCATTCTTGCTTAATCTTTATGCCAAATCTTGGTGCTATATCTCACTGTCCCCATTTTGTGGATGAGAAAGCTGAAGTTTACGGAAGTGATTCTGTCCAAGAACCTGACGTGGCGGAACCAGGTCCTGTGTGTGTGTGTGTGTGTGTGTGTGTGTGTGTGTGTGTGTGTGTCTCTGTATTGGGTGTGACTAAATTTATGGGCTTCAAGTCTCCTTGGTGAAGCCTGATGAAGTGAGGTGGCTGGACTCCCCAATACCCTGCTGGGTCTTTGCTGTCCATCCTGTGGTCTGTCCATGTCATGCGTGAGTGTGAGTATGGATGGAAGGGGTGTTGATTTGGGCTGAACAGGCCTGAATGGTGCCTTTAGGCAAACTGGAATATTGGGCAATATCCTGGCTTTGTGTTGGACTTACTTAACTCTTGGTTGCTTAGGGACATGCAGGAGTACCTCACATAAAGCATAGGCCAGGAAATGGCTGTGGGACCCAAGGCAGGTTGGGAGATGAGTGGTCCTGGGAGTGGTGTGCCTTGGTTTGGTGCAAGAGTGAGGGCCAGGCCTTCCCCTGTGTTTACGTGATGCCCTCAAGCTTGCCTCCCATGCAGCACCGAGCATGCCTCTGTCTTTCATTAGTAGATAGGAGAGAACCCTTTTTCTGAAGCATGGCACAGGTAGTGTGACCAGAACTCAGGCCTCCTGTGCCCAGTTCCACTTCCTGGTCTCCTCATCCCCATCATGTCTAGCTCAGGAAAGGGTGACACACTGAATTGGCTGTTGTTTTTGTTTGTTTGCTTTACTTTAGCCTGCCCAAAGAACAAGTCTCATTTTACAGAACAAACTTGTCCTGATTGCCTTCTCCTTTTCAGCAGCCAACCTGGGAGTGTTTGGTTGAAAGCCCCCTCTGAAGGTCTGCATAAGTGTGTCTAGAGGGAAGGAATGGGATTAAGGGAGTCTGGAAAGAGGGCTTCTGTGTGCCAGGATTCTGGGTCCTGGAACAGATTCCACCCGCTGTCATTTCCCTCCCAGCTGTTCCAGCAGACCTTGGGGTTTGGATGGGAGTGTGCCTCCTGGAAGCTCTTCCATGTGGCAAGGGGTGTGTGTGTGTGTGTGTGTGTTTATGTGTGTGTGTGTGTTGACAGGCACTGAGGGAACACAGCCACACATGCACACCTCAGCAACACAGGAAGTGTGTTGGAGTTGAGGCCACAGAGGCACCTTTTGGGCAAAATCTCGTCAACCACTGTGTGACTTCAGGCTGCGCACAGACAACCTCCCTAGAAGGACTAACTTGAGGGGATGATACAACCTCTGCCCACAGGTGGCTTACATTTAGGTGAGAAGAAAATAACTTGAAGTTCTCTGGCATCTCCAGGATTGAGATAGGCAGACCTAGAGTCAGCATCCTTCATGATAAGTACAGTGGAAACCCATCTGAGGGAGTGTTGAGGGCCCAGCCTTGGGGGTGGTCTAGATTTCTTTTGCAAAGTAACCTTACTGCCTGTCACGTGAGGTGTGTTGGGGAGCCAGAGGGTTTGCCTGTGTCTGTAAGCGTGCAGAGGTAAGCTTGCAGGGTGAGGAGGGTGTCTTGAGTTCAGAAGCGGGTCAGCATGGTGGGTGCACCTGCTTCTTGACCCAGTGACTTGCTTAACGATGTTTCCTGTGGACTCGTGAACTTGGAGACGTGGCCCCTTCCTGCCTCTGTGCCTTCTCATTGCCACCTGGACCCCTCAGAGGTGTCTATCCTGCTGGCATTTATGGCTTTGTGGGCTGCCTAATTATAAGTAGAGGAGGCTCCTGCTCCCTGCTTCAGCCCTGGGAAAGCTCCTTTTCCCAGTGAGTCACTTGAAGGCCACCAGGAGAGGCCATGTGCATGCACTTGTGTGTGTATGGGGGTGCATACACATGGGGTAGAGTTCGACTGTAAAGGACAGCTACAGCTGCACTCTGCCTGGCTCATCCCATCTGGCTTTCCTTGGTTGTCAGGTCACAGTCTTAGTTTGGGGAAATGGGGTTATACCACCTGTCTGCAGCTGTCTCCTTGGGCACCTGGGCACTTTCTTCCTCTTTCTCTCCATTTGTCACCTTTTCCTGTTTTATGTGCAGCTCGACACTAAAGAAGTCAGCAAAAATGACACCTCCCCAGAAGGGCAGGAAGGATACCTGTCCTTCCTGGTTCCAGGTTAGCCCCTGACTCATTGTGTTCTTAGTTCTCCCAGCTGCTCAAGGGACCTGCTGTCCTTTTTGATCCCTAAGAACCACATGGTTACAAGGAGACCTTGGCTTAGAGTGAGGTGACACTGGAGGACTTTCCAAGGCTCTACTCCCATTCTCTCTGAGGACCTGGAGATGGGCATCAGGGAAGGCTGCTTGGAGGAGGTGGACTTAGGGCTTATTGTGGGAACCAGAAGTGGACCAGAAGACGTCCCGGGACAAGGTCAGGTTGGGGAGTAGGGGTGGCTAATTTGCTGCTCACACCCAGGCATCCTGGCCACCTGCCCCAGGGTCCGCTCATTGGCAGGAATGGAAGCTGTGCCGGGCAGGTTGGGGCAGCGGGAAGACGAGCTTGTTTATCGCTCTGCTCATCAGCTGAGTCATGGTGCCAGGCCCACGGCTCCTCCTCGAGACTCACCCAGCCAGCCTTGCCCGTGAACCCACTGTGTGCCAGCATGTGGTGGTGGGGTGTGCAGCTAGTCGCAGACCAGGGCTTTGGCCCTGGCTTCTAGCCTAGTTCTGAATGACTCTGGGGGGGCCACTTTTGGCTTCTGTGAAGCGGAGCAGAGGTCAGTGCTCCGCCAGTCTCATGGGGCCCAGAGATGAAGGGAGGTGATGCTTTGGTGTTTTCTGACTTCTTGTTGCTGTGTCCCCCCTGGGCAGCTGTCTACCTGACTGGTGGGCATGTGAGTGAGTGAGGTCTCTTTGGACCACTGTAGAGGGAAGGGTCTTCCAAGAGGTTCATGAGCCTCCCTAACTTGACCGAGTATAAAGTCATTCATGGTTCAGTCACTTCTCCCATCTACCCAACCTCAGAGAGAGTTTTGTCCCAGAACCCCACAACACTGTAATTTTAAACTAGAAGCTTGGGGTTTAAGTCAGGCTATTTTGTCCCCCTCACCCCAAACTCCAGATAGCTATGACACCTTCCTCATACGAAATATATTGCAAAAGAATGATGATGGCAGGAGTTAGGGGGATGACCAGAAGTCCTACTCTGAACCACTTTGGGCACCCCGAGCTCCAGAGTTTCTTAGAGAACTGTCCCTCCCCAATCCTTACACCCAGTGACGTTAACTTGGGCAGCCTGGCCCTTTCTAGAGCCACGTTGGTCCTCAGGTGCACACTGCCCTCCAAGGAGACAGGATCCTGAGACCTGGGCCGGGTCTGGTGGGCCAGAAAGGCTTCTTCCAGAGGGCTCAGACGCCATCTATTGTCATCTCACACTTTCTGGGTACCTGGTGGGCATGAAAAAAAAAATCCTTGTTTGCTTCATGCCATGAATACCAGTGTTGCTCCAGGGGCCTCATCTAGCCTGGTCGGGGACTTTACTGTGCCTGTCCCATGGTGAGGGCTTCTCCATAGTACTGCTGCCCTGCAAACTCTGGGGTTTTGGTGGTCTTTAGGGAATGTTCTGGATGGATGTAGTAGTCACATTTGGGCTCTGAAGGAATGAGGAAGGGGAGAAATGTGATTGGGAGCCCTTCCTTGCGTGGAGTTTAGGAGGGAGGCTTTTGGGGCCCGACTCTGCTGTACAGAGTCTCTTGAAGAGGACTCCTGGTTTTTTGGTCAAGATATAATCCTGCCTGGTCTGGTAACATCCACAACATCGCCACTGTTCTTCAAGCCCATTATTGAAGTCGCAGTGCCAGTCCATCTCAATCCATCTCATTGAGAGGCTTCCTCTTTTGCTGACCTGCTACTTTTCCAAGCATCAAGTCCTCCAAGGACTGGCCCCCCTGGTAACATGCCCAGAGGATGTGAGATGAAGTCTCACCATCCTTGCTTCTAAGGAGACTTCTGGCTGCACCTCTTCCAAGTGTTTCGAGTGTTTGAGGCTGTGCACCTCTCAGATAATGAAGAGAGTGCTGAGGACAGTGCCAAGCTTCCAGTGAAGGCACCTGATTTCTTTACAGCCACCAGCAGCCTCTGGAGTGTGTGCAGCCCTGTAAGAGCTGGTCCTCACAGAAAGTACCTCTACCATCTTGGCACCTCGCTCTGCAGTGACAACCCTCATGGGAGCTCTTTAAGCACAGTGTGTCTCCCTGTGTCTCAGTGTAGGATTCCCAGGGGCCTCCATGCTGTTCCTGAATTGTCCTTTATCTCAGAGACAGGTTTCCAGGTTCTAGGCTAGCCCGTTGTTCATCTGGGTGTGAGAGAAGAATCAGTGTATGTCTGGAACTCAAAGAAGGGAACAAAGGGAATTTAATCTGTCTTGCCTCAATATGAGATTGGCTTTTGACTGTATTCTGGTATAGATAAAAAAAAATTGTTCTGGGGATCTCCCAGCTTCCCTTTGGTAAGCCTTTGTTCTGGGGATCTCCCAGCTTCCCTTTGGTAAGCCTTTTCCGTCTTTCAAACCTCCTAATCATACCCAGGGTCCCAGTTCTAGGATGACCCCTCTGTATCAGGGAACTGATTTATGCTATAGTGTGAGTGACTAGGACCATTTTGTGCAATTGCAAAGCCACTGGTAGAGTCTGATGTCAAGAGGAGTGTGTCCTTCTCCTCCCCCCTCACCACATACGCACAGCTGGAGGCCTGATCACTGCAGGTGTGTTCAGGCTATCGTCTCTGCCTCCGTGAAACCTGAGGACACTTTATTTAGCCAGGGTAGGAGAGGGTGTCACAGGAAGGCCATATATCAGAGATGTGACACCCCAGGCCCAGAAGACACTGGAGATTAGCCAGCTGGAGATCACTTAACGGGTGCCTTCAGGGATGCTGACAGGCTGGGTTTCTCAGGAAGGCTTCAGTATCTTCTCCCTGGGGGACTCTTGTGGTGGACAGCCAGGGCTGAGGGAGGGACAGTCCTCTGATAAATAGAGAGGTTTGGGCTGTCTCCTCTCTCCTCATGGTTTGCCCTTTATTTGAGGCATCTTTAGCACTGGTGGCCTAGAGGTGAGGAGTTGTACTGCCAGCACAAAGGTTTGAGTCCACCAGCTGCTCCACAGGAGACAGGCGGGCAATCTCTTCCCATGTGATTTATGGCCTTTGAAAACCCACTAGGAGGTCAGCTATGAGTCGGTTCCCACTCACCGGCACACAACCCCCAGCATTTTGCCTAGGCCGTAGGCCTTTCAGGAATCTAAAAGCAGTAATATTAGTAAAGGCGATAAAATGCCTGCAGTCCCCAACCCTGCGTAGCTAAGTCATACGCTTGTATGCGCCACTCGACTTGGCTTCTCCATGGAGCCAGGCTTGACTCCCCAGCTGGACTATTGGAATCAGGGCCCCCTTGCATTTCCCCTTGTGCACGTGGGCACCCTAAGGAAGGGTTGTCCTCAAGGTTAACACAGGCTTAACCGAATTTTCTTGTTCCTGGGTCTAGTCACTTTCCTCTGGCTACACTTCTTGGTCACTGATGTGGGATTCTGCAGGGGTTGGTTGGCAAGTCTCGAGGACAGACAGACATGCCTTGTCTGGCTCTGAGGAGAAAAACCAGGCGCCGAGGCTGCATGGGCCTGGACTGAACGCTTGCTCAATGCCCCAGTGAAACCTTGCCCTGCCTGGTCCACCCCCGTATTCTGGCAGGTGGGGAAAGCGGAGGAACTGGTCTTCCAGCTCTTCCAGCTCCACGCCCAGCCCTCAGCTGAGCCTGATCTGAGGCTAGTCCTGGCACGTGGGCCCTGCCGGAGCCGGCACTGGCTCAGTGGAAGGGTGGGCTTGGGGGTGCTGGGGGCAGCAGCAGCCTGCCTTGGGTCTTAGGCTGGTATTGGGCAGTTAGGATCTCTTCCTTCTTCGACAAATAGCTCTGCTTTCAGGAGGAGCCCGGCTGCCTCTCAGGTGCCCCAGGCTAGTAGAGTGGGACAGTCATAAGGGACCAGGGTAAAGGGGTTTGGCTCTCAAGCCCTGAGGTTTGGTGATGGGAAATGCTACTGTGGAGGGGTCTTTAAAACCAAACATTGATGTAGGTTCTCCACCCTGACCTGCCGTGGATCCCCAAGGGCAGTGGGTCTGTCTCTGGGTGGCAAGGGTTGGGGCTGTGGAGGTCAGGTTGCAGGGGAAAGGGGTGGGAGGTCCCAGTGCGAGTGCTGACAGGGTAGGGGCAGGACGTGCCCTTGAAGACGCACGTTCTCAGGGGTGAAGGTGGAAGCCTGCTCTTGGCCTGCCTGCCTGTTCCTCAGCCCCTCCACCCAGAGCTGTGCCCACAGCTCCTTTTGCCCATCATGCCTGCTGCAGGTCACAGCTTGATTTGGTTCTCGTGGAGAGAAAGTGTGCTGATAAATCATCCTGTGCCTGTCGGGCTGGAAATACTGATGCTGCCTTGAGGCATTGGTGGGAGCTCCTCTCTCCTGGGGGTGTATCTTCATGGGGACATTTAGGATACTGAGGCCAAAGTCTGGGAATATGTGGCAGCCTTGGGGGCCCAAGAATATCTCCTGGAGGAATTTCACCACCTCTAAGTTAAGAAACAAGCCTTAAGAGGGAGTAATTTGTCCAAGACTACCTTGAAATCTAGGGGTGTCTTCCTGGGCCCTGGGACTTTTTATATCCCTGATGTGGCTGGCTGTGGTCTTCTCATCAGCCTCTAAGCTTGTGGCTTCAGTGATAAGGAAACTGAGATTGCCCCTCAATTCCTGCTTAGCCTGTCAGAGCCATAAAGGACCATACTGGCCATCGATCCTACTCACACCGATCAGCCAAGTAGGAAACAGATTCCAAGGGACAGAGGGATGCCCGAGTCACCAGCAGGTAAGAGGTAGGGCTGAGACCTGAACCTTTACCCCTCAGAGCCCGGGATCTGTTCTCTATTTGAGAGGCTTGCTCTCCTAAATGCTTTGGGCTATTTTTTGTTGTTGGTTTTTATTATGATAAAATAAGTGATCAAATTGCCATTTTAACCACTTTTAAGAGTCCAATTCCATAGCATCAGTTAAGTTCACTGTGTTATGCAACTGTCACCACTATTTATTCCCAGAACTTTTTCATCACCTCAAACAGAAACTCTGTACCCATTGAGCAACAATCCTTCTTTCTCCGTCCCGTATGGTGACCCCTAGTTTATTTTCTGTCGATGTGAATCTGCCTTTTCTGAAGAAAGCCCCAGATGCCCTATTGCTGTGGAGTCAGTTCTGACTCATGGTGCCTCTCTAAGTATTCCAGAGGAGGGCTACTGCTCAGGGTTTTCATGGCTGCCGTTCTTCTGGAAGCAGATCATCAGGTCTTTTCTCCGTGAACTGATGGGTGGGGCATGACCTGCCGGCCTTTGGTTAGTTACTGTTAAGTCAACTCAGCTATGACTCATAGCAAACGTTATGAACAACAGGTCTGAACCCTGCCCTGTCCTGTGCCATCTTCACCGTCTACATGCTGTGGAGCCCATTGTTACAGTGTCAGCCCATCTTGAGTCTTCCTCTCTTCCTCTCACCCTCCACCATTCCCAGCATGATGTCTCCCCCCCACACACCCCCCACCCCAGGATGGGTCCCCTCCTGAAAACATTCCCAAAGTATGTGAGGAGGAGTTTCCCCCTGGTTGCGCTTTCTCCAAGATATATTTGTTAGTCCTATTTCCAGTGCATGGGGAATATGGCATTCACAGCATCAGTTCTCTTTATCATCTTTGCACAGAAAGCAATTGGAAATACCATGACTTGGATCAGAAGCACCGTAATCTTGAAACTAGCCAAATTTGAACCATGTGCACCGCCCAGGGACCTTTTGCCTAGTCTAGATATTATATATACTTGGGGTCATAGAATATTTATCCCTTTGTGGCTAGCTTATTTCACTTGGCATACTGCCTTCAAGGTTGATGCTTTGGTTTTGACTTACCTGCCTTCTCTGGTCAGCGGAGAATTAAAGGCAGGCACATGATTCCCCACATAAGGAAAAGCACAGTCCAGAGCCCTGAGGCTTTGGGGTATGGTTGGCTATTTTGAAATGTTCTCTTCCCTACCCCTCCCCACTCTGCAGTTACCCTGAAAGACCATGCCTGGAACACTGCAGCTTGCCCTCCCTCATCCTATCCTGCCCTGCATTCATCTGTCCATCCATCCTGACCTCGTTCCAACAGTTCTTTTCTATGGGATTCCTAAATACCTTTCGGCATTGGACCAGCTGGTGGGACAGTGTTGGAGATGGGCTTGGAAGAAAATTTCCTGGAGGTCCTCTTCAGCTCCAGGCTTCAGGGCGAACTTATCTTGCTTTTCTTATGACCTGGTTCTTGCATTGCTTGGTGTAGAAGGCATCAGGTGCCTCTTCAGTGTTCCCTTAGCTCACGTCAAACCGAGTGGGCATTGTAGCGCCCAGGGTGTGGAGAGTAGGACCGTCTCAGCCTCTGCCCAGGCCACTGCGCTGGAGTTTGTGTAGGAGCCTCTAGTGCTGTTCAGTGTTACCTCTTCAAGTGGTTGAGTCGGGGCTTGAGTGAGGCTGGGCCGCTCAGGGTGAAAGGCCTTTTCCTAAAAGACTGTGAGTTCTTGAGGGTACAAGCTACAGTACCGACACAGTCTGGAGCTGGTTACACGTGACAGGCCCTGGGTTTTCACTCCTGGTTTTCTGAGCTGGTCTGTGGGTAGAACTCAGAAGACATGGCTGTGGTCATCTCCTAGTGCTTCAGCATGAGAGCCACTGGACTAGACTTGGGTGTTGGGCTGAGGCCACCCTTGGCCAGTTTTGATTTCTTGACACAGAGGTGAGTTGTCAAATCTCTGTGATTCTTCAGCACACACAGAAACCTCAATCCCCAGGAGTTAAGTTTGGCAGGGGGAAGGGTGCTCATCAGCCTGCTTCTTTTAATTTTTATTCTGTAGAGTTTACCAAGAAACTGAGAAAAAGAAAAAAAGTTGGTTTGGTTTTTTTTTTTTCTTCGGATGTTTTGTTTTTTCCTTTTTTTTTTTTTTCTAAATTGACCCTGTGTTAATTGGACTCCCAGTGGGCTCTAGGGGATGGGTGTTTACCCTCGAGAGGCTTGTGTGCAGAGTGGGACTGGCCTGGGTTCAGACCCTCAGAGAGGCAGCTCCAAGGCCAGGCTTGGAGGCAGCTTGGGAAAGGCTGTTTGTGACCCAGCCCTTTGATAAAGGCCAGCTCTTTATCCTTGATTTCCCGTGTTGTGACTAATGGTTTTGTTTACTCAGGGCCTACGCTCCCACCACAGGAGCTTGCTGCCCCCACTACCACACTAGTTCAGTTACAACCTGCAGATACTTGAAACTCCCTTTCCCACTGACAGGCCAAAACTGCTGTAATCAAAGAGAGCTTCAGTCATGCAAAGTTAGTGCCTTTGGGGTGAGCATCTGTTTATCATCTCTGGAGGATTAGACCTACTCCCCCAGCTCCCATGGAAGTTCTTCACACCAAGGTATTTGTTGGTTTCAAGAGTGCATGGAACAGTATTTAATATTTTTTAATGGGAGTTGTGTTTTATCCATTATTCAAGTCAAGCAGCCTGTGGAATTTTAGTGACTCAGTGTATGGGAAATGAAACCACCCTTCTTCAGAGCTGTTGTCTGTGGCATGATAGATATGAGGGTTGGGGGCAGCCCCTATGGACAGCCCGGAGTTAGAAACCTACTTGAAGCCTACCATCCTCACTTGAAGCTCTCTGAGATGCTTACTTGATGTCCTGACCGATGACCTCAATCTTAGAGAGATGTCCTAATACAGTCTACCCAGAGCCCCCCTGCCACCAGGGCAGTGGGCTCCCTCAGATGGAGGTCTCAGAGGAGGGTGACCCTCTTCTGACTAGTGGTGAGGGCACCGATAGGTGTAGGCTTGAAGCTGCTTCTTGGAGTTTTTTTGTACAATCTCTTCTGTACAGTGAAGGCCCTCAGTCCTTGAGTAGCCCTGACTCCCCAGTCCTAATCATGGCATCTTCTCTCCACCTCTGAAGTGTAGGCGGGAGGCCTTTACCCTCTGTTGCTGGCTTTGGACCAAGAATTTATTCAGGAAATTCTCATCCCATGACTTCTCCAGCCTGCTGGTGGTAGAGAGGAGCCTTAGGGAAGATTTCCTTCAAACTGATGGGCTCAGCCAGGTCAGGTGGTCCTTCAGAGCTAGGGAGAGGGAGAGGGGGAGCAGGCTCTGGAGAGAAAGTCTACAGACACTGGGGAGGTGACCTGGAGTCAATCTCTTACCCTTTCTGAGATTAAATTTATCTGTCAGAGATGTTTATCTCTGCCTCACCTGCAGGAACCTCCTAAGACTCAAAGACAGTAAGGGAAGGGGGATATTTTTCAGTGGTTGAGAAAGCTTTACTCCTTTCATCCCCTCTTTCCTGTTAGGCCAAAGTCCTGAGCAGAACTTCTCCTCTGAGTTTGCCTCCCTACACACAAGGCCAGTGTGGTGGAGAGAAACAGATTGGTGGGGAGAAACAGATGGACGGTCTCCCTCTTATCCCTTGTCCCCAAACGCCATACTTCTGCCTCACCATCTCCCCAACACATCTGGCTAAATGTTCTGGTTTGGGGTTTTCACACCTGTGGGCTTTCAGAGTCTAGGCTGTGGATAGAGAACAAATTGTCCCTAGCTTTGAGCAAGCAAAAAGAGTCCTGGTATCATAATTGTTAAAGAATTTGGCTGCTAACCAAAAGGTCGGCAGATTGAATCCACCAGTGGCTCTGCAGGAGAAAGATGTGGCAATCTGTAAAGATTAACAGCCTTGGATACCCTGTGGGCAGTTCTCCTCTGACTACAGGGTCTGTATGAGTCGGAATTGACTTGATGGCAGTGGGCTTGGGGTTTGGTTTTTTGGTAGAGCAAACTAAACATGTGAAGGTCTAGACCTTACTTACTTTTGATTTAGTGTATGAGTCACTAATTTCCCAGGGACTGGCAGCAGTTAAAGGGCGCCTCTTTAGTGTATGGAGCTTGCTTTCCTTTTACCTCTCCACATGGCCTTGTAGAGCGAGTCTGGACTCTTTAAGTGTGCCCGCTTGCCTGTTGGCAGCCCTGCCAGCTCAGCCAGAGACTGAAGGGTCTCTAAGGACCTGAGTCAGAGGTGATTCTGAGGAGAGCCTTTCGAGGCCTGGAGGCAGCTTCCTGCAGGCTGTTCTCACAGCAGCTGTCCAGAGACAGTGGAAGTGGCACCCACAACCTTGTGTCTGCTGGCATTTGAGTGATCCAAGTTCAAACTCAGCAATTTCTGCTCATTTCCTCTCTGCAGGTTGGAAACTTCCCATTTCTCACAGAAGGATGAGCCTGAGGGGATTTGAGGGGTCACCACAGCCCAACCTCTCACCAGAGACCTGAGGCTGACAGGAGAGAGGCTCCGGTTAGGCCAGTGATCTGGTTTCTTTGGAGAATATGTTTGCTTAAGTGCTTGTTGTGTAAACAGGATTGCTGAGGGATAGACTGAGCAGTTAGAACAATTTGTTTTTAGGAACTAAGCAAACCCTGCATCTTATCTGGTCATGAGAGAAGCCTCACTCTTGAGGCTGTTGGGAGACTCAGCCACTGAGGTCCCTGGTGGTACCTCCAGGCTGTTCTGCTTTACAATATGGTTGAGGCAAGTCTGGCAGTTTTCCCCTGAAGGGAGGGAGTCAGGCAAGATGCTTGTCAGCCCAAGTACTCCCCAGGAGTAGAGAGGGCAGGACTGAGGTGCTGGGTGAGGAGGGTGAACCAGTGATTCCAGTGGGTGTGGGCAGGGGTCTGGGGCAATTGTGTGGCAGGAGGTAGTATTGTTCTCTGTCTGCCTAGGGGACAGTACTAATTGCTGATAAAGGGGAGAAGTGCCCTCCCTCAGAAGAGGCCTAGAGCAGCTTCTAAGTTCTGCAGACAGCTCAGGTATTTACAGTCCCACCTGGGGACAAGATAGAGAAAGGATGGACGATGACTGTTCATTGCAGGTGATGACTGTTCATTGCAGGTGAGCCACGATGGCTCAGGCAGGCCTCTGGGGCTTTTTAGGGCTTGGGGGAGGGAAGGCACAGTTTTAGTTTTTGTATTTGAAAAGGAAGCTCAGTGTTCTTTGTGGTCATGCAGTTTCTACACCTGACCTGTGCTTTTTTTTTCCCCTCCCCTGACCTAGACCCTGGATGTAGAGTTCATCTGGCCCAACTCGGCCCCAGAGCTGCCTCAGGAGGCCAAAGGTTTTGCCTGCCCCTCCCTTCTGTGCTCCACTCGAGAATGAGGCCCCGTGGGCCCGAGGCCAGGGCAAGGGGAGGCCTCTGGAGGCCCTGCTCCCTCAGCCTCGGGTGGGGATTGCTCCCGGCAAGTCTGTGCAGTCTCCGGAGAGCCAGGCTGGCTCCCGGCTGGTCTCCTCATGAAACCCTATCCACCTCCATCCCACCCTCTTTCCAGACAAGCCTGCTGCTGGCGTTCCAGGTGCCATGTGCCCTACATTCCCTCTTCTTGCCCAGCAGCTTTTACTTCCCTTGAAAGGGTGGCAGCCTCTGGCGGTGGGGCTCCGCCCGGCTCCTTACATGCAAAGCCGCATTGAGTTTTTACAGTCCGTCCTGAGCTGTGGATTTATTATTGTTTGCATTTTAGAGATGGGAAGAGAGTCTGTAAGGTCCCTGTGCTGCATAAAGCGGTTCTTCCTTCCTTGTTCTGTTCTGGCCTCTGGTGGTCAGGCTCTGGTGAGATGGCCTGTGCAGTAGGTTCATGTGGGTCAAAGTCTGTTTGCTGACCAGATTCCTCTCGCTGTCCCTTTCTGCCACCTGACTGCTAGGTCTTTCTCCACCTGCTTACCAGTGTTGACTATGAGTGTGTTACGGGCCAGAGGCCCCGCCTTGCCCTCCCACCCACACAGGGCTTCTGCACAGGCCTGCTCAGCTGCCTCTTGGTGCTCACCTTTCCCCTGGTCCCCCACCTCAGGCCTGCCTCAGGAGCTGGGGAGATATTTGCACTCTGGCACTTGCACCTCTCAGAGCCAGGAATGTCAGGCCAGGCAGGCAGCATTCCTTGGCCGGCACGTCGCAAACAGGGTCTAGCCCATACTCACAGCCTGTTTACCAGCACCCTCTGAGTGTGAGGTTGTGTCCAGACCAACCTCAGTCTGTTCTGGTCCTCCTTCCCCAACGAAGGAAGTACTCTGAGCTCTGGGTTTGGACCCAGTCCTTACTTTGCATAAAAAGAGAGGCTGACTATGGGAATGAGCTTGAGGAAGGCCTGGGGCTGGCCGATGTGGGCAGATCTACCTTAGGACACACAGCTCACTGAGGATCCATCCCTGAACCCTGTTCCCAGACCCTTGGTGCCTCCTAGAATCTCTGGGTCCCTTCATCATGGGATTGTTCTCGGGTGAGACCTGAAAACCCCTCAGTGGGGCAGGATTGACAGTCTTGGACCTTGAAGTTCCTAATTGTTGGCACCCAAGGCATAGTTCTCAGTGTTTAGTCTGGTGATGGGGTTCCTTGGATATGATTTTCCCAGTTTCTTCTCTCTGCCCTTTCAAGAGACCTGCACTCCTCTCCTGTCCTAGCGTCTCTTTATGTGTTCTGCACTCCACTTTCCAGTTCCATGTGTTCGTGTTGGAGCAGAGGGTGTGCTGGGGTCATGGAAAGGATGCTGGAGCCTATAGCCCTGGGGCCACACTGAGGGCATCCATCCATGCTGAGGAGGATGGAGAGAATTCTGTCAGACCTCCAGGAGGGGGGCCCAGGAGCAATGACTTCCTGACAAGCTCACCCCCTTTTTTGCTCTTTTTCCAGCAAACTGTGGCTGCAAATGTGCCCCCTGAAGATCAAGACGGTTCTGGAGATGACTCTGACAACTTCTCTGGCTCAGGTGCAGGTGAGGTTGGCACTGGGGGAGCCCCCACCCCACATGGCAACAGACAGTTTACTGGGCCCAAAGGGGGATGCTAGGGAGGAGTATAGGGGTCCACACTGCTAGGAGCTGCCTGGTTGAAGAGAAAGTGTACGTAGGGGTGGAATGAATGCTGAGGGTTCTGGAAAGTTCAGGGGCCTGTGACTGTGGTACATATTATATTCTCTTTTGCCTGTGGAAGGGAATTTGACTTTCCTCAGCCTGTTTTCTCATTGTAAAATGAGAGTTAATCATCTGAATCACGTGATATTGTGAGGAAGGGTAAGGCAGCACAGAGCCTGGTGTGGTGTAGATCTCCAACGTTTGTCCCTAGAGTTTATCATTTCCCCTTTACTAAGCTGTAGGTGAATGGGGAGGTGGCACTTGAGCTGGGCCTTGGAATATGAGTGAGCCAGTGGGCCGACGCTGCCTCAGGGAGGGTGTGAGAGCTGACAGGCTGGGTATAGGTCTCTGGGCTGGGGAGTTTTAGGTTTTCCTGGGGCAAAGATACTGGTACCTGGGGAGGGAGGAATGACAGAGATTTATGCACACGGTCCAGTTCAGGGAGCAGCCATCGTCAGTTGCAGGAAAAATTCCTTCACAGATGGGCTTAATGTCCTTCTTGTGGTTCCAGATACCAGACCTGCCTGAGTGCTTACAATGGACTAGGACAGCTTTCAGTTTCCACCCCAGGGGACACAGTTGCTCACGGTGGGGAGGGAGGGTTCCTGTCCTTGGCAGATTTTGAATCATGGCCTGGGGTCCTCACCCAGGCACCCACTTGCCATCCCGTGCTTAGCTTACCCCTGTCCCCATCCTGACAAACTCTGCTTCTGGCCCTGCAGATGCTTTGCAAGATATCGCCTTGTCACATCAGACCCCCTCCACCTGGAAAGACATGTGGCTCCTGACCACCATGCCCACCACTCCTGAGCCCTCAGAGACCATTGCAGCCTCCATCCTGCCCGACCTGAAGGAGCATGTGGAGGAAGCATCTGTGCATCTGACAGAGGTGGAGCCCGATCCTCTAGCCCCAGAGAAAGGGACATCCCACCCGCCCAGTGAGACCACCCAGCACCCAACCACCCACCGGGCCTCCACAGCAAGAGCCAGCACGGCCCAAGCACCTGCCACCACCCATCCTTCCAAGGACCTGCAGCCAGGCCACCCTGAGACCTTACCTCCTAAAGGACGTGGCCACTTCCACCCTCCAGCTCCCGGCCTGGAGAACGGAGCCCCTCCTGCCACGGAGAAGGCTGCTGAGGATGGCACCTCCAGTCAGTTCCCAGTGGAAGAGAGCTCTGGAGAGCTGGTGAGTGGCTGTCCCCTTGCTGTCCTTTGCATTTCTTGGGACACAGGATGACCACTAGGCAGAGTGGGCCTTGGTGCGTGCCTTGTTGAGCACGGGACATGTGGGTGTGGTCTGTGGTTGTCAGGCAATTCCAGTATCTGTGCTTAGTCTCCACCAAGAAGTTGTATTCTGGAGGTCCTGGCTTCCCCTCTCTCGCTCCTTGGGCTTAGCACAGGCCCAGTCCAAAACACCAAACCCAACTCATTACCAGTCCATCGTAACCCTATCAGACAGAGTTGAACTGCTTCCCTTGGAGTCTTAAGACTAATCTTTCCAGGCTCTTACTGCAGGTCACAGTGAGCATCAGCACAAGGCTGGCTGGCGTTTGGAAATGAAGGCCTCTGCCCTAGCCTGATCTGTCTCTCTGCCCTCCCACAGGACTTCGTCTTTGAAACACCTGGGGACAACACAGGTGTGGTTTCTGTGGAGTCTGACCCTCGGAACCAGTCCCCCGTGGATCAGGGGGCCACGGGGGCCTCACAGGGCCTTCTGGACAGGAAGGAAGTTTTGGGAGGTGAGTTTACCCTCAGGTGGGTGGGGAAAGGTCAAATTGTTGCTTTTGGGGACAGTGGGGGAATGGCTGCTTTTTTCCCTAATGTGGCACCCACTCTACCTGGGCCACCTCCTGGGGCTGCTCAATGGGAAAGGGTCTTCTGCTGAGCCCCAGTAACAGCACAGCTAAGTCGTCTTCTCCTTGTCCACCCTAGGGGTCATTGCCGGAGGCCTGGTGGGGCTCATCTTTGCTGTGTGCCTGGTGGGTTTCATGCTGTATCGAATGAAGAAGAAGGATGAGGGTAGCTACTCCTTGGAGGAGCCCAAACAAGCCAACGGCGGAGCCTACCAGAAGCCCACCAAGCAGGAGGAGTTCTACGCCTGACAGGAGGCAGCCACTCTCCCCCTCCCCACTGCCAATCACTAGGCCCCCCAACTCACCTCTTCCGTGAAGAACTGCAGGCCTTCGACTCCCCTCAGGCCACGCCTCCTCCCCACACTCTGGGCCACACCAGCCTGCCCCCCGCCTGGAGATCCGAGGGTGTGCTGGGGAGGCCCGCCTTGCTTCTCTGACTTCTGCCCAAAGACTTGGGGGTGTGCACAGGGGCTTTTTTTGCATATGACCTTTTCACCACAAGTAGAAACTGGTGTCTCACCATTCTGACTTGAGTTTTCTCACCTGGAAGAGCCCCTCCCCAAACCCAGCTCTAGAAAGAAAGCGAACCTTGACTGCTGTCTGGGACCTGGACACCTGTGGCAGCGGCGTCTGGAAGATTCCCATGGGCGAGGGTTTTGGGCTAACTCACCTTTAGCACTTACTGGTACAGACCAACTGTCTTTGAGGTGCTTCCCATTGAGTGGCGGCGGTGAGGCGCTCAGGACTATCTCAGCATTCACTTTGTTTTGTGGGGAAGTCTTAATTTAGATATCAACTTGGTTTTGCACATACTTCCTATATAGTTTCTTTGTTCATAGCCCCAGTAGAGTTCGCTCCTTCTGAGGTAAGTTAAGTAAGTTGATTTCCTCCATCTTGCTTCTCTCATCTGCCATCTCATCAGAAGTCATCATCAGGGTTTAGAAGATTTTTTTTTTTTAAAGACAAACAACAAAAGCTAGGAGAACCAAATCTGGAAGCCAAAATGTAGGCTGTTTGTGTGGGGTTTTTTTCCGAGTTTGTTGCTCACTTGTGCAACAGGGTATGGAGTATCTGTTTTGTGGGCTCCATTTGGGGACCGCTGATCCAGGCTGCCAGCAGACAGTCCCCTTTTCTCAGTAGACAAGGCTGTGTGTATGAACTCATACCCACCCCTGAAGCCTGGTCTGCTGGTAAACCAAAGGAGCCTGGTATGAGAATCAGGTCCTGGCTGCTCAGAGCTGGGATGTTTGAAGAGGACTGAGGTGGGAGTGAGCGCAAAGAGTGTTCTGGTAGAACAAGCCTTTCCTTCCTTGTGGGGCCATTTCTGCGGGACATTTCCTCCTGGAAATTGACCAGAAGGGGTCTCAGGAACAGCCGACACTGAGCCCCTCAGTGAAGGGCCAGGCTTGCTTTTGCTCGGCTCCCACGGCCCTACTACCCTGGGCTGGAGATTAGGATTGTTTTCCAAAGAGTGATAGTCTTTTGCTTTTGGCAAAACTATACTTAATCCAATGGGTTTTTCCCTGTACAATAGATCTTCCAAATGTAATAAACTTTAATATAAAGTAGTCATGTGAACTCTAATGCCTTTGCTTCTTCTCTCAGCGCTGGTTGTGTGGGCACGACCAGCCTTTTCTCTGAACACCCACAGGATTGGGAAACTTGGCTAAAATCTCTGTGCCTTCATCTTTGCTGTGGTGAGAGATTCTGAGCCCAGAGTCCCTCCAGTTGGTATTTGTTTTGGCTAACATTTTTCTGGAGGTTGGTAGGTTCAGCCAAGGTTATATAAAGCCTGATGTAAATTTTTGAGTTGCCAAACTCCACATAGCCACCTAAATGACTGAGGAAGCTGGGAGGGACAGGGCATGGCTTGACCCGAGGCCTCAGGCCCTGGCCTCTCGGATTCTCGGACGATTCTCCCACCCCACACTCACACCTGTTGCTTTGCTAGAACCAAAGGCTCTAGGCCAGAGCTCCTGGGAGATTTCTGTATTTGCTTATTTAATTTGATAACCTTGCAGCCGCTCCGTTGGCTGCTGTGTTTAGTGACCTGGTCTGTGACTCAGATGCACCGTCAAGCAACGGGAACTCATGTCCTATGTTCAGTCCTGGGACTTTCTGACTGGGACATGTGACTGGACATGACTCGAGGGCAGGGGATGGCTTAGTGACAGTGCTCATCTTTGCTGACCTAAGGGACGGCGCCCAGCCTGAGGGCTGGGCTCATTTGTGTAACTCTAATAAAACGGTACTGTCATTTCTGGCAACAGATCCTGGTGGTGGTTGAGTCTCTTCTAGGCCTGGCGATGTCACCTGCTTAGTGGGACCTGGCTCTGGGCTCACTGGCTTGGTGAAGAGCAGTGTGGGCTCAGTACTGGTACCTGCTGTGGAAAGCAGACTGCCCGTCTCCACCATGCTCACCCAAGCTGTGGCCAGACCACAGCTCCTTTGCCTCACCCTCTGCCTGCCCTTCCTCCTGCCCCTCAGCAGGCTTTGCACATTCTCTCCCTCAAGGGCATTGTTGTTGTGCGTACATCAAGTCAGAACCAACTCCTGGGCAGCTGGGGATTGCCCATCCTTCTCCAGCAGAGCAGTTAGTGGATTCAAACAACATGCCTTCAGGATTACCGTGCAGCTTCTTGCCACTAGGCTATCATCACTCCCTTCAAGGTCATTGGTGTGTCCTAGTTTGTAAAAGTATGTTCTCTCTTTCTGCTTGACCACTCGGTGACTTAAAATTTATTAATAAACCATCTCAAGTGCTAGCAGTCAAAGAAAATGCTTTGTGCCCTTGGGAGAAATATGTAGAACGATGTGGAGTCAAATGGCTCAGTTTAGTGCAAGAACCCCCATGAGCTGAGGGTGATGGGCGGCCCACCCCTCCTTGGAGCTTTGTCCAGGCTGGTGACCTAAAGCCCTCGGCTGCCTGTCCATCTGCCCTTGTCCCCACCCTGGGCCGCTGGTGTCCTACCCGCTCTTTGCCCCTCCCTGCAGGCCAATTCCAGGCACAGGACCTCCGGGGTGTCCTGGACAGCGTACTGGATGGGACCTCACTCCACCTGTGCTTCTGACCGCAGGGACTGCCAGCTCAGGGTAGATAATTTTACTCTCCTTTGACACATTGCATTCAGTAGCGTTTGAGGGCTGAGACAAAGTCTCAAAGGTCCTCCAGCAAATGTTGGAAAAACAGTGTCTCTGTTCAGCCAGTCCCTTTACTGGACACTGAGGTCACAGTTGTAGTCCTGGCCACCCTAGTAATTAGTCCTTTTACTGCACTTAGTATGACCAGACTGTGCCAGGCATGACAGCTGGATTATTGCATAGCCATCTCACAGCTGCTCTACCATCCATGCGACAACACTGTTAATTATCCCCTCTTTATGGATAAACGATGGAGGGGTTGCCTCTTGTCCAAAATTGCACATAATGGAGCTGGTAGGTGAATACCAGCATCAGAACACAGCGAGCCATACAGCACTGGAGGTCCAGGAACTCAGGGAAGCCGCCATCAATAGTGACCCGCAAGGTTTCTGGTCCCCCAGCCTTCCCCAGCCACCTTCCTTCTTTACATTCAGATCTCTGAAACCGAGCCCCACCCACCCTCTTCCTCCTGATCATAATTTATTCTCTTGATCTGCTGAACTCTCCCACCTCTGTATTCATACCCAGGGTCACCCACACACAGCGTACCACACAGACAGGTTTGTGCCTTAAAACATTGGAATGCTTGAAACCGTAAGAGATGCAAAAAGGTGAAGTTGAAATGTCCTCAAATTCCTCAGACACTCATACTGAAAGGCATGCCTCCCTCACCCTCAGCCTGCTGCTAATTTCCCATCACCTTCACCCCTTTTAATGCCCCTTCTCTGCTTTCTAAGACACCCTCATCTCTGCCGGGCAGGGAGCAATCGAATACTCGCTCTTCACTTTTTGATGATGCCCAGGTTTTTTATTACACATATTACTGTATGTTAGTTTGGTTATGTCACATTTTTAGTCTGCAGCCAGTTTCTGCTTTAAATTGCCTTTTTTCTTTGCTTGCCCCTCGGCTTTTGCTCCAGATGTTTGTTGTTAAGTGGCGCTTAGTCAGCCCCGACTCTGAACAACCCAATGCACAAGCGACAAAAGCACTGCCCGGTCCTGCCCCTGTTGCCATGTTTGAACACTTTGTTCCAAACACTGTGTCGGTCCATCCTGCTGAGGGTTCTCTTTTCACTGACCATGCAGGATGTCTTTTGGTTCAGGTAACACTACATTTTCACCTCAAGACGTGAAAGCTCTGTAGGAGGTGGTAAGCAAGAGAGGCACAAAGAAAGAAAAGGGCTGTTTCAGTGACAGCGTGCTGGGGGAAGACAGGGATTTGGGTGTGGCCAGTTTGGGGTCTGGATCATGGGGATACCCCAGGGGATGGTATGTGAATTAAATCTCAAAGGAGAAAGTGAAAGTTGCTTCTCAAATAAGAGACAGACCTTGCAGTTTGCAGACACAAGCTGTAGGCAGAAGGCACAGCTCAGGCAGCAATAAAGACTAGCAGATTCATGTTGTATGTGACAGGAAAGCACACGTGGGAAGGGGACATGCTGGAATGTGGTAAGGCCCCAGTGGTGACCACCAGAGAGCCTGAAGGCGCCAATGCAGACAGCAAGAAAGGTTAGGCATTACAGAGGGCGGGGGACTGGAGGCCCAGCGACGGTTATGACAGTTCCGAGGCTGCTTTGCTGATTCCAGAGAGGTGATGGCAGGGATGGACAGGAGGGGCAGGCTTGAGAACTCACCAAGAGGAAAAACTGGCAGGACCTGTGAGGTGTGTCCCCACCTCACTTCAGGGTGCCACTGCACTCTCCCACAGGTCCATGCTTTCAGGTAGAGTCCGGGGTAGGGGGCGGGGGGGAAGGTTCCTGGCCTGAGATTGTCCTCTGAGCTGGGTTGTGGCTTGGGGCTCACCTGGGGTAGAAGGGATAGTGATTCCAGGGCTGGGCTTCTAAGTGGGCAGTCTCACCTCCCTCTCAGGTTAGGCACTACTACTGATAAGTTAATTCCAAAATAGCCAAATCTGGGAGAAAAGGCATGAATGAATGAATGCTCTCGTGGCCCAGTCTGAAGGGAGTCGTGATATCAACCTAAAGGCAGTGCCTCTTTGACAGTTTGAATCCACCAGCGAATCCAAGGGAGAAAGATTGGCAATGCCCTGTGTGATTTACATCCTGGGAAACCCACCGGTGGGGTATCTATGAGTACAGTTTTTTAAA